CGATCACAAGTGTATACAGATCATAGCGCGCTTATCCCGAGCAATGCGTAATTCAGCTAGTAAATTACATAATAGATATAAATGTCATTTGTAAATATATAAAAGTCAATTAATAAACGTTTTATGAATTCCAGTTCGTAATGAGGAATGGGTTATAGAATAGATAATAATTCGTGAATGGGCATAGCCGGGGTAACGAGGTATAATATTCTCATGCGCGTTAAATGTAATTAGGTATCTGGTAAAATAATAAAATTCTAGAACATAATTCTCGTTGGCGTAAATATACAATTTTATTACAATGATCAGAACGTCCAATTAGTATTGTGGCGATGCATAAATAAACTATGTATGTTTTGACCTAGAGTAAAATAGAAATTAAGGAAATAATTTCGCCCAATATTTTTATTCCAGTATATACATATACACTGATCGATCGTGGGTGTATTCTTGGTCATCTTGTTGGCCACGTTATTCTTCAACATTTCAAGATACAAATATGTTTTTTTCGTTCCTTATGTCGACGGCGTTGATCGGCGTGCGTGCTTTGATCTAGAATAAAAAATTATTATTTCAACCAAAATCGATTGAAATGATGAAGAATATACGTGGAAGGTGGTGAAAAGTTTCATGAACCCCTTATGCTGCAAAAAGATTGTCAAACATCGCTTCTCGTTTTACCACTTTAGATGAGTCTCTCCCCTTAAGAGAGCACGGTTGGTAACCCTGTTCAGGGGCAGTCTTTACAGCCGTGTACATTACAATGCCGTGCGTTCAGCCAGGTCGCGGAAACGTTCTGTTCTTTCTCTCGTCCGACGCGTATCGCGGGTTTCTCCGTATGCGGCTGCCCCGACCCACGTGCTTTTATTTTGCGCGGGAACATAATTATTGCTTTCCATTAACGACCCCGTATTATTACCTGGCTATTAAAGACTCCGATTAATTGGCTATATAGTGCTATACGTGGAAGGTAAACGGCGGTAATAAGCCGTTCCGGCGATCACGGAACACAGTGGAGCACGTTAACCGAGTTAATTAATTTATTTTCGATCAATGAAGATGACACCGGCGAAAAGTTCGTACTCGAACGTCGACGCTCTTTTTCGTTTCCTTCGACCCGGGGCCTCCGGAATGACCGAGTAATCCTCGAGGTTGATCCTTGGAGCGCAGCAGGACGTCCCCGCGACAGGACAGTTACAACGGCATTAAAATACATTCGTGAAGCGGTCAGCGTGTTAGCGTCGTAAAGAGATTCCAGGCGTCCTGACGTCGCGCGTTAACATTGTAACCCCTGGTTGGTATTCCGGTAGCATGGCAACCGTACCGACCGTACTTGCCCCGTAGCATTTATTACGATCTTGCTATACATGTAACGCGTAGAATCGTCTCGCGTGCCCAAAGTCGTTCGCCGAGATCTAGCGTACGCACGCGTGTCTCCGATTTTGCATGCAACCCGGCTAAATTATGGCACGGCTGCCGGCCTTCCGAAGCGAATAATTACTTCGGGAAATTGCCGCTTTAAAAAATTGGTTAATAACAGCCCGTACCGCGAGGAACACGCGGCTAGGATGCATCTCCGCCGCCAGCTTCCTGTTTCGCCACGAAACCGAACGTACCGCCAAAAATATTTACACGTTACCTACGGGACACAAGTATTGGTACAGCATCGTTGTGTGCTGGTACAAATGCTTATAACTGCTAAAAAAATTGATTCAAAGGAAAAACGTTTTGACTGATAAACTTTACATAACAGAAGCAATAATATAAATACATTCATTCACGAAACAATAAAAATGTATTCATTGAATATTTTATGGGTGGACAAAAGTATTGACACATGATGCTAAATGTAGTATATCCGCATTTGTTTGAAAAATTTCCGATCGTCATTTTGAAATGTAGATAGGAGACTCCCTAATTGTCATTTTTAACAACGATCATCCTAAAGTTTAGTCGTCTAGCAACAGGGAAAGTAGGAAAAGGTAATAATGTCAGGAAAAGCGAAAGAAACCACAAGTGAAACCACAAGTAAAATGTAAAAATCTTATAGTGAAATATCACAAATTGTTAACAGAAGTCAGAAGTCAGAAGATTTATAAATTAATTAAATCATCAAACCACAACAACCATGCTGTGCCAATACTTATGTCCAGCATTGTATATTCGATAATAACGAGAAAACCGTCCGTTTAGAGTTCGTAATAAATAACTTGGGTGGGTATTCGACAAAAGAAATGATCTTTTATCGAGAAATATGGTGAACGATAAAGCGATAAACGAGTTTACGATACATTCCAAATTATTAAGTTTGCACAAATTATATAGTACCGTACGTTCAGACCTTGTCGGACATAGTTTGCCCCCGGTGCGGGCCATTAGATATTTTGTACGTAGTTAAGTTTTTTAAATGGCCACTAACGCACCTATACGACGCGTATATGTTTTACAAGCTCAGGAATGCGAGGTACACATAACGAACATCGTGAAACGGAACTCGTTCGTAAACCGAGTTGCCTCTGTAACAAAAACTGTGTAACATGTACCAAGTCTTATGACCGCACGTGAGCGAACCACGTCAGCACGTGACCGTCACGGGCTGGACACCGAGGGGGTATTCCCGTTTGGGGACGTCAAAATTATTATGCAATTATAGAACAAGGATCGTAAAATTTTTCATTATCTTTATTATTCTCACAGCCAACCTATTTTTATTTCGACTCGCTGCAAAGACGAGGTCCAAACGTTTACTAGACCACGAGATTGCAAATTCATTTCTGAAGATCTCGTTCCTCTTCTATTCGGATAAAGTTCCGGCAATCTTTGGCGCCAAATTGTACTAGCTCTGGAGAGCCAGATGTATAGCGCGAGCATTTACATCTCGACACGCGAGACCCCTCCGACTCTTTTCTCCGGAGCTGTTCGTGGCCTCTCGTCTGGCTCGATTCTACAATCAGCCTGGTCCATTGTTCCGCGTTCGAGGATCGTCTTGCGTGGGCCATCGAGCTTCTTCCCCAGGCCGATCAGCTTTTTTCGTACACACAGAGCGCGAGATCTTCCTAACGCTCGAAGGCTGGTACAAGTGACAGCGCGCGTCCGGAAAATAATTACATTATAACAAAGATCGTATCCTAAAAAACATTTGATATTTTCATTTTTCGACGTCTACTGATATTTTTCATCGGATATTTATCGTTGAACGCCACTTTAGCCTCGTTCTTTCCATGGAAGCGAGACAGCTGTCGGAGCATTAGATAAATCGCGTATCGAGACTTGGCCGGAAGTTCATCCTTGGTCGTGGAAATCTGTCCCCGGCGCAATCGGTTGTCCGGCGTTCGCAGCCGTGGCTAACGACGAGCGATAGAATCGCGATCGACGAGTGACTTTTTCGCTATCTCGAGGAATCTAGAGCCCGAAGAGGGACACGTACGAGGCACGTGCGATAGGGCAGACTTGCAAATTCGATCATCCTAGGAGCAGCTGCCGTCCAAAGAGCTCGTCGAGTATCGTAGACGGTTCGGAGGCCTAGATCCGCACGGGGAGACGGAAGATGGTCTGGGCAGACAGACAAACGGAGAGAGAGATTGACAGGCGGAAGGTCCTGGTTGTCCAAAAGATTACGACGTCGGTAGCACGTGCCCCATTCAAGCCAACGTAGAGGGGAACCACCCTCGTAACTTAACCTAACCTAATCCAACCTCCTTGCCGTGGCTATTCAGACCGTGACGATGCAGGCTTCTTTGTGACCCCGGGTTCAATCCGAGAAGCCAGCGATTCAACCGTCTATCCGTCTCCTTTCCTTTTCACCTTCTCCCCCACCTCCATCGGGCTTTCTCACTTTTTTATCGCGCCACGCATCAGGAAGTTATAACGTCTGCCCTTCGAAGTTCTGGCTTTTGATTCTCGAATTCAGACGGCCAATTAGAGCGAAACGCGCCGCGAAAGAGGAAACCGGCAGAGGCTGGTCGCGACACGTCGTGTTCCTTTTGAACAATTTTTAATCATAAATTTCTTCGTTGTTTAACACTTTGACTGCCACGTCACTCATATATGAGTGACAGAACTTTTAACGGTGGAATTGAAACGATTAACTCTCAAGTTGAAATGTTAAAGAAAATAAATTTTACAGAAGTTACGAAAGTAAGTACTACGACAAGTCTGAAGTTTACGATTGTTCAAAGTTTTAGGCAGTCAACGTGTAAAATGAACGCGCTACGAAGGGAAGTGTATATTTCCAGGCCACGAAAAAGTTTGTCGACCCTTGCATCTGGTGGATGACAATAAAATCTTAAGCACGGTATATAAAATAATAATAAAAGCGCCGCGTACTAAGGAGGGTAATTTGTCAGCGAAAAACGGTTCCAGGGCGCTTCGTGCACATAAATCACAGGAAGTTTCGGATAGTTAGGCCGTTTACACGCCCTTCGGAGTCCGCGGGACTCCATTTACGAGCGTCTCGTGAAAGAGTGCGCCGCCGAACATCGGTTTCGCAGCGACTCTGACTTTTCTTCGTAAGGAGGCGAGCAAGAGGGAGGCATTGTGAGCAAGGCCACCCGCCGATACTGTTTGGCCCATTTAAAATCGGCACAATGCTAACACGCCTCGAAATTGTAACGAACACCGATGGTACTGACCATTGTCCGGCCCAAGGAGGAGCACGAGCTCGTTCTCGCGCAAGGACGAAGAAGAAGAAAAGGATCTGGGGCTTCACGAACCTCCTTAGAACCATGTTAAAGTCATTCTTGCGAACTTTTTGGCGTCAGGATTTACCACTAAGGAAATTACAAAAATAAGTGCCGGAACAAATGTTTTGTTACGTAGTTTACAGTGGTCTAAAATCAAAATTTTAGTGTCACGGAATATTATTCGATCTAGCAGCGAACTTAACCCTTTGACGTACGATTTCATTCCAAATAATTGTTTAAATCTATACCATTTAATTTTATTTAAATTCGTGCAAGGAATGACTACACAGAAGAATAAATTTAGATACATAAGGCTGGATGACGAGTGAGTAGCTTCATGATGACAGGAAGTTAAGGGGCTTAACGATCGTTCCATCCGAATGAGACTGTTTCGATGCTCTTTGCGATTTACAATATCGCGAAAATGAATGTTTCATGCGCCCCATGGTCGTTGAAAGAGTCCGAGAAGCGGTCAAAGGTATCCAGGAGGCAGTAACTTAATATAACTCCCGCTCCCATTATGTATCCGAGCAAAAGAGAACAAATAGAGACACCAGAGGGTTACATCGCACCCCCACGGCTTTGGTTATGCCCGTCGCCATTGTTTCGCGGATAACGCGGCCGGTCGAGTCTAAAATAGCGCATATAGGAACGGAACACACACGCTCAGTTTACACGGCAAGCTGCAACAGCGTGCCTCGTCATAACGGTCGTCGACGAGGTTACGGGGAATACGGGCGACAGGACAGGCAGCCAGGGCCATTATTGTGTACGGACGACGATCTTTATGTAAGATCTTACACGGGGACCCATGGGGTCCTGCGGCGCACGCCCATGCCAGTGGAGGGTGGCTGCGGTTTCACTATTTCTCTCCCCCTCTTGCTTCCTCCTTCAGAAGCACCTTTAATCTTTCTTCTCGTCCCTTCTCTCCCTCCCTTTTGCCGCCTCGTAAATCTCTTTAGGTGTTGAAACATTCGAAGGTAGGACGGGTTTTGTGCCACGGGGTCGAACGCGTCGAAAAGAAACACGCTGCTACTACGGGGACGATAAGGACCTTTTATCGCCTCGCGAACGCTCTGGACATCCTTGATACTTGGAAGGAACGTTTCTTTAACTAGCATAATCGATAAAACCAGCAATTTATTCTATTTAAGGGGTTAAATTTTTTATATTAGGCTTTCGAGATAGACTTACGGTATTCATGACATCGTTTCATTCTTACACGTTGAACGCTAGGGGAAAATGTTTGTTGAATATCTCACGAAACACCCTGCATAGTCGTCAAGTAGACTCTCAGTCTCAACTGAATTATTTTACTCAATGTTGTTTTCTTCAAAGCATTCCAAAAATAATGAACTGATGAGGAATTACATTGAAATATATTAAGCAATTATTAAAGTTGCATTTACGGGATAAATGAGTACGATACTCATGAATCGTACTCGTTCATTCATACCCGAGGCACATAAATCAATAGTATATCGCGATAGCACGTGACAACCAGAAGCAGCAGCATTCATAATTTCGCGCGTAACGAGACTGTCGCATTGCTTCGCCGCGTAACAATTAAGCCAAGTCACTGACACGTCTTAATTATGCAAAAAATCAAATTAATGGTCCGGGAGTTGAACGGCTCGCGTCCACGGTGATGTATTGTTTAACAGATACGCGATAAACGAGATGATCGTCGCGATATACGTCGAAAATTAATTTAAAAAAACTCTCGGAAGAGGTTCGAGGAATCGTGAGGAATTTTAAACGATAAAGTTAAGAGCAATTTGTTCGATGCGATAAAAAGTTGTTGGTTTACCATAATGGCAACTGTCTTGATTGATATAGTCGTACGGAAGCTTCCCCGCTTCGTTTGGCTATATTGAATTATGCGCAACGAAAGACGATTAAGTTGAAAAAAAAAATATTTAAATTCGTTACGGTCGATTTGCTCGGTTTCACGGAGAAATCGCGACGGCAGGGGTCCCGCGAGCGAAAGCAGCAACAGGTGGTAAAGAATAGGAGACACGAACGCGTGCGGAAACCAGTTGCGGAATCGAATCCTTTTCCTGCGCGTTTGTTGGTCGTCGGGACAATTGCGTTCGATTATTTCGATTCCCCCGTTGCGGGGAATTGGCAAATTTTTCTGAAAGGGCTCGAACAATAATGGGTATTGTCAGCCAGAAAGTAATGCCCAGGAAATTATCATATTTATATATAATGACAAAATTTATACAATTTTTATCTCAACAGTATGAGGAATACAAATCGCACGCGAAGACAAAGTTTGTAAAAATTTGAAAGATTTACTTTTTACGTGCTTTGCCTCCTCTACTTTTATTCCGATACTATTGGTGTTGTTTTTATTGTTCCTCGTTGGACCAAGGGATTTTTGACTCGATGGAACGCAAGACCGCTCGAACCAGGAACTCGATTAGCACCCTGTACCCGACGTCGTTCGAAATCCTCGAAGTAACGGGGCGGTTCGTCGTAAAAAGCGAGATCAATCATGTCACAAGCGCCTTCGATCTTTACGGTCGACTCTCACTCGCAATCTTCACGGTTGACAATTGACACAATCTTCGGTCATTAACGATCTTGTAGCTACACGGTTGCTCGTCCCAGATACTTGTGTCTTCTTTCAGAACGATAACGAGGTCTCTGGATCTCAGCGAAGAGTTTCTCTTGTTCTTTGAATTTTCCGTGTTTCATAAATATTATAAGAAAATTCAGAAAATCTTAACATATTGTTAATCTGCAATTTTACCCAGAATTCCAAACAGAATGAACAAAGTTTTTTGGAATAGAGAATGCAAGTGACCGATCCAAGACGAAGAATATTTGTAAAAAGATCGACTTTGTCCTCTCGAGAGTAGCGAAAGAAAATTGTATGTCGTTTCGTAAGTGTCGCGCGTACGAACACGATCGGTTGGTAGTAGTAGCGGTAGGTTGGTAGGGGCGAGCCCTAATGAGGATCCCCTACCACAGACTGTCGACCGACCGCCGCAAAGTAAATGAGCAGGTGCCTCTGGTATGCGCCCCGCCTACGCTTTCCACTTGCTCTTGTCCTCTGCACGAGTTGTCCGAGAACTTCTTCCTCTTTTTCGTGGCTGCCAGGAGATACCATCGCGGAAAAGTGGTTCTTGATATAGTACCAAAGACGGCCTGTCGCGACAAATTATTGGTATTCTTCCCCTCCTTTTCGGAGACTCAGATCGCATTAAAGCGTATTAAGCACGGCTAGTGTCATAATTCAGGATTAATACCTCGGTGAAACGGCTCGGTGTCTTCGTTAGTAAGTCGGTGCTTGGGTACTTTTTACCCAATCGAGACGAGCAAAATTGTATTCCGAGTAATTGGTGAGCAATAAGAAGGACGCGCGGCAATTTATTCGTTTACTCGATCGAGCAGCTTAATTCTTAAACGAATATTCCAGGAATTATCTTATTTCGGATCTTCCTTAAGTATTCAATGTTTATACACTAAAACAGGGGTAGTGGATTGGAGATAGTTAGGGAATTTAAAGAAATTCTGAGCAAATGGCGTCTCGACCAGGATCTTCGATCTATTTCGCGGGGAATTCGAAACTTCTAATAGTTCGAAAACAAATATTCGTACAAACGATGCTAACTCAGTTAAAGAGTAAAGAGTAAAATTTTTATCCGGATGAGAATCCTGGTGGCGTTGATCGTCGAACGGAAAGAGTACGCGTGTTTCAACGATTAGACCTACGCGGAGTTTAAACACAGGAGGTTCAGGAAGACGTATTTGTACGATCGATGCTACTCGTCCATCGCGATCAGCGAGTTTACCTGCCCGTCGTCGGTCGTTAGACTTTTCAACCTTGAAGGAAGACCTTCTCAAGGCGAGTAGACGCCGCGACACGTCCGGCTAAATCGGGAGGAGAGTTCTCGGAGCTAGACTCCTCTTCTGGAGTATATACGTGGCCGTGAAGTGGTCTTCGAGACAGAGCAAACGCCCCGTGATTTTTTAAAATACGCGGCTTGTGCTGTTGCGTGTCCGCGAACGAACGTGCAGACGCGACCACGTGTTTGCTTAAAATCTTGACGCATGACCGGGACGATTTGTTTTTCCATTTCCAGGGACGCGGCTACTTGCCCGTAATAAGTATAATAGAGATCCAATATTTTCACGATTCCGTGTTTGCAACAACCTCGAAAACGCGGCGAGGCACGAAAATTTCAATTATTTTCTTAGATGACAGAGGTACACAGATTTCCACGTGGAATTTATTAAACACTCGAATCGATAACTCGGTCAGGATCGTATAAAAATTCCAGTTTAACCAGTACCTGATTGTTCCACCCCTTTGCTCAAAATTTCGTTGGTTTTTGTTTACTCGTAGCAATTATCGAACGATTAGGACGAGATCCGATCCTGTTCGTTCGCCAGTAGAAGAGTCATCGTCCGTCCTTCGTCGATCTTGCGCTATTGGTGACACACCGTGTTCGTTTCCTTCTTCTCGATCCTCTTTCGTGACCAGTACCGGCTTCAGAGAAGGACAGACCTACGCGTCCTACGGACCTTCGTCGCGGTATGTACTTAAATACGTGGAACGAGAAGGCTCCTCATCTCGGACGACCGACCGCAGTGCATCGTATCGTATTCTGCCGCCATTTGTCTTCGCGATCCGGGATTACGTTACCACGATGATACACGATGACATTTATTTTGGGATTTGTACGGGTCGCCGTGGCCCTTTTCTCCGCGTTGTATCCCGCGTGAACGCGTCTTTCGTCGGACCTGCCTACGCATACGTCGTGTAATGACCGGGGAATGTTCTTAAAGTTCACCCCGTTAATGCATGTTAAGGGTATCGATAACGATCGTGCATCAGCTGTGACGAATCTAGCGAAAATATCGCGAAAAAGATTCAGGGGATTTCGAGGATTCGAGCATCCTCGCCCCAGCATTTATCTCCATTAACGATGTAGGGTGAATTTTAACCCTTAAGTGGACTTTCAATTTCAACAGAATTATTTTAGAAATCAATTTTCCTTTAAAGCATTAAGGGTTAAAAATACTGTATAAAACATCAGCAACTGGAAATGGTGTCTCCCCATTACCTCGAATAACTACTAAACGATCGGAATTTACGACCGTTAACACGCCTCTTATCTAAACACGTTGCGACAGAAGATCGATCGATCGTGGTTCGCGATCCGAAATTTAACAATCCCGTAAAGATTGTGTAAACGCAGATGCAGTTAAGAAGCCAGCCCTACCCCCCGAGATACGGAATAAAAAGGGAGCGCGTGGCAAAGATCAAACAGCTGGATCATCTCGTGCGTGCCTTTGGGTAAGGATCTTTTTCTTGCGGAAAAGGTGGGTACGCGCTCGACCCAGGTGCAACCTCGGAAACCTTGGAAGGCGTGCGTGACAATGCTCGTACGCGCGTGTGGGATTCGTCGTGACGTGAAAGTCGTTCGGAAGAAAAGAAGCGTACGGCTTCTTTTCCAACGGAAGATGACGTTCTTGACCCCCTACCCCATCGGTACCGCAAGGAAAACAGAAAAACTAACCGCGGCTGATCGACGGGCAACCTTATACGCTCCAATTCAAACGCACCTTGTTGATAAGTTAAAAAACAACAAAGGGAATGATTTTTGATACTAAGTAACAAATTGCGTGGTCGATTCGTTGCATTTATTGAACGTTGCCCAGGCAAGAGCATACAAAGTAACGACGAAAAAGACTGACCATTGTCTCGCCTACAATTTCAAGGCTTAATCTACAGCCTTGAAGGCGTTCTAAATAAAAATATTAAACCCGTGTATATATTCTAGACGTTTTTTAAAAATTCGACCGTGAACAGTTCGTACAAAACAATGAAAACAATAGAATCAATCTTTTCAAACAGTGTAAAAACACCGAGTAAAAAGAGGATCGAGTCTGTTACATTTCACCAGTTTCTTGACCTTTGATGATCGTTTCAATAACAAACCGATTCGCATTATTTCATACGTGTATGGGGGTATTGTATTAATGCCCGGTAAACGAGCTGCGTAACGTTTAAAAGGAAATAAGACGTGAATACATTCACGGCGCACGAGCTCCTAAAATAAATCGACTCGAGTATTCTGCACTTTACGGTTCTCCGTGTGGTATCGGACCGACGCGTCGGTTCTTCCGTTAAGAAAAAAAAAAGAAGGTAAATACGAGCGTCTAGAAAAAATTCAAATGGTCGAGCGTCCACTTAGCGAGTACTCTCGACATAGTGGACACGTGTCTAAAGCGTGGCTAGAACCTTAACCACGTGTCAATATCTCAAGGGACGTTTGTTTACGAAAGTCATAGAGGAGGCGAGACGCGTTAGAGATTTTTATCGAAGATCGTCGGGAAAAAGTCGACGAGCACTCACTTACGCCTACCGCGCCTATAGGTCGTGAGTTCCTAAGCGCGTTTCGCGGTGCAAAAAGAACTGGAACTAAAAAAAAAAGAGTTGATCGTGCGTGTCTCGTTTCTTTCGCGCGAAACGATCCGCGAAATCGGACTCTGTGGCGGGGGCCGTTCACCGGGTGTCATCGAATTCTGGTGTTTACGAAACGCGCTCGACGAGGAGGAAAAAAAAACCGCGGTCACGTGATCGGTACAGGCGTACACTTGTTGCGCACGCAGGGAAAACGTAGCGCGGGCAAAAATGGATGCCGCGGTTCGCGACTCATCGGTTCGCCATGACGCGCAAGAAACGGCCACGATCCCCGTTAATTCCTAGGATTCTCAGCGTCCAACGCGACGCGTTCCTTATCGAAGAGCTTTTGCGCGCGCAAGCACGCACCCTGGGCGCGTGGGCAGGCCCGAGCGGAGAAACCAGTAAAAGAGAGACTTCCCTCTCTGTCGTTTCGTTCCTTCTTCCACCGGCGACCGAATCCGCCGCGGTTCCCCGTCTCTGTTTATCCATCGGTTACCTTGCCGGTAAAAACAGCACGAGGTGGTCGGTCGTGCGAACGCGGGTAGGGGGATAGGCGTGGTTCCATTCTCGTAGGTGCACTCGGAAGCGATAGTGTTCGTGCGCCCACCTCGCGCCTACTGAGCTCGGTTAGGCCGACTCGTACACGAAGAGGGGCGAGTCTTCCCGAAGATCGCGGGTGGTGGGGGTAGCTGGCACGGTGTCGCAGAGTGGGGAGAGAAGGGGAGTTAAGGTTCGCACACACGAAAATCAGTGGGGATGCTGCCTGTACACGTGTAGAGGAAGAGAGAGACGGTGAGCGAGAGAGGGGGCGAAGGGGGTCGAGCACGGCCGAAGGTGAAACCCGCGAGCCGTCCTAGCCTCGCAGTCGGCGCGAGACCGCGCTACTGGAAGGGTCGGTGTGTTGTCATATATGTGTATGTACGCAACGCCTCTCTCAGATTCTCTCTTTCCACCACTCTCGCTCGCAGTCGCCACGCTCAAGCGAGACAAGCAACAACGACCAAACAAAACCATTAGACGAGCCAACGAGCTTAGAGAAAAGACGAGGAAAGAAGAGACGAAACCGTGGCCGCGTGTCGCGAACCACCCTTTCCCGCTCGTCGAGTGACCCGGACGAGAGAAAGAGAGAGAGATTTTTTTTGTCAGCTCGTGCGCAAAATCGCGAGTCGAGGCATCGGCTCGCCGCGCGATCGAACACGAAAACGCCGCCGATCGGTCTAGGATAAACTCGCGGTGTTCGATATCGGGCGCGATCCGAAGAGACAACGCACGATCGGTCGTTGGATACCGACGGGACCGAAGAAGTCTGTGATTCCGATGTGCCTGGTTGTATATTATTTACGAAACGTATCGGTTCGCAGCGTGTTTGTGCGAACAGAACTGGGGAAGGAGTGCGTGCGCACGAACGTGTGTGTTCACCGAGCGAAGGATACGCTTTCCGGTGACGTTCGATCGACGATCGACGAGGAGAACCACCCCGTATCCTCCGTTGTTCGTAGTGCCATTTCTTCGACAGGAGTAAATAAATTAAGTAGTGAGAGACGGAAGACGAGTGACGTGCTGCCCGCCGCAGAGATAGGGAAAACGTAAACGAGAGATAACGGAGGCGCGGCCGCGTATTGTGTGTGATATTCGATCGCGATCGATCATCGGAGGATTCGTTGGTGTTAATTGTTGTTTAATGATAGTCGTATATTATCTCTCGGGTTGTGTTGCCGTCCGTGGAAGAAACTCGTTGCGACGGGCCGGAGACGATCGCTGGCTGTGATAACGAACGCTATTCGTTCGAGTAAGTTTTAGTGCCTGCCTCTGTGATTCGTGACATTATTGCCGTCGGTAGTTACGTCCGTAAGCGGCCGTCGAGCCCTCTTAAGTGTCACACGCTGGAAGGAGTTGAATTTCGAGAGCATCGGATGCGCGGGAGCCTTTAACGACCACCGGGTAAGCCATTCAAAGGCGACTTTACTTTATCGAGTTGTATCGTAATTATTTGACGTTCTCCGATTAAATTCAACCTACAAATATATTAAATTAAATAAAAGAAAAATGGAGCCCATACTGGTGAATCGTTAAAATGCTAAATTGGTATCTTAACACGGCTCCAATTTTAGTTCTTTTGCTTTTTATCAATTACCACGTGGTACTACCAACACTCTATGGCTTCTGCTCTTTTTTTTTATTTCTCACGACAAGTTTACGATCTTCGTTGGGTAAACGATACAAAGATTCGTCGATGTTTTAATTACCTAAAACTTTAAAGTTTACAAATAGAATAATAAATTTGAAAAAAATACTATCGTATTAATTAAAAGGAACGACAAATAATTATGGTAGAACACAGTAGTTCGTAAAGTTGACATTGACGTCAAAGAGATACACGCGTTATCTACGTGTGAAGTGCCCACGCAAAGGGTCGTGCAACCTTAATTATCGATACGAATTATTGTGTCCGTCGAATCGAAAATAAATCAGTGGCGCGTTCGATCCTATCGTTTTTACGCAACGAGATGCGCACGCGCGTTATGCGATTCTCAGGCCCTCGAATTACGCGATCCGCGGCAAGTGTTTCGCACAGAGATGGGCAGAATGTGATTCGAGTAATGTACGATGAATAATAACTCTATATAGTGATTTCCTCGCAACTATCGTTTCATTGAACGATAATTCAGGTAAATCTTCACTCCTGCACTGTGAAAATTCGATTACGTTAAATCAGACCGCAATTTTTATTTGTTTCGTGAATTTGTATAGGACTTGATCGTAACAAAAGAATTTAAGTGAACGTAACGAAAGAAGTCTATATGATTAAATAATTTTAACATCGAAATGGAGTACGTTATACATGGTGTTTCCCACGTTTCTAGTTAAATCGTAGGAGTGTAATTTATAGAAAAATATTATACGAAGTTAGTTTGTAAACGTATTATTAGAAAATTATAGGCAAATATTGGGAGCAGTCTGAGACACGTCAAGCTCAATCTGTCGATTGTGTTTATACTACTTATATTTATACAATGTTTTTTAATTTAACAATGATCGCATGAAATAAAATTTTCATTTGAAAATTGCGACATCGATATACATTGTATGGAATTCATTGTGCTCCGAAATATTTTACAATTTTACTGCACGTCAGAAATGGAGCATTCGTTGCACGAGTTCTTCGTGTGTATTTACTCATGTATCGTAAACTTCTTATTTTAGTACTTCCCCTAAGTAAAAATTTAAGAAGCGCGAGTGACTTCAGGCCACGTTCAATATTTGCCCATAACTTTCTAATAAAATATTTGCGAACAAACTCCATATAACACCTTTTTCTTATTTTCGCTCGTAGATTATGCTCCTACGGTTTGCCCAGAAGAAACGGAACCATTGAAATCGTTTAAATTATTCGCCAATAATTATTGACAGAAGAAACGATAAACTTAATTGGATCACGAGTTTAATCTATTCATTAAATAATGAAAAACAGTTCTATTAATCACAATACTGTTACAGTCAAATATTTGAGTAGTTCAAGTACTCCGATCGTCAAACAGCCATTATATTTGCACAACAAATAATTCGTCAATGAGTTTCTATTCCTTCAACGATCATTTTTAATACAAAAATTAGGTTAATCCGTCTGTCTTGAAATCGACACACTTGAAGATTATAATTAATCGAGACCTGTTTATCTTTTATTCTTTATTCGGAAGCTTCGTCTGGATGAGAATTGTGCCCGTCTCTGCGTCGTTCTGCGCGCCTGGATGCGTGCAAATTGCACGAAAATAAAGTTTCGCGTGTAAACAGTTTAGCGACGCGATCGCCAATAGTTGATATCAAAGCCGCTTTTTTTGTTCACCCTCTGTGGAGTGCGTTTATAATCCGTGTCAGCACAACTCGCCTCCCATCGTCGCGTGCGAGGGCGGTTTAGCATCGTGCGCCCCGGGCTCGTTGGAGCGTCGCGGTGCTGAGCGTCGGAAGTAGAGCGGATGCGCGCGTTAGGGCGGACGCGTATGAACATCTCTTTTCACGCTCGACCTTTTCCCTTCTACGACGTCGTAACGAATTTATAAACTCGTTTAATTTTACCATCGACAGATCAAACTGTACGGTTTCTCTCTGCCCAGCGACGATTCTTTACTCGAAAATTTACGATCGCCCGATCGTCGACCATCTTGTTCGTCGTTTTCGAGTCAAAATTCAGGGAGGCAATATTTGCATCTCCTCGTTTGTCACAAAAAATAACCGTTATTATATATTCTTAATTCGTTTGCCCTCGATTGGTCCCCATTTGTAAGACTTGTTAAGGGTACTTGGGAAGTGCGTGTAGATTTCGAATTAAAAATGGTCTTGTCCAGGATAAATTATAGAATTCAATTAAGATTTAATTAAACTGCTCCCTCTTGTATGATTTATTAAAATGTTGCGAAAGTTTCCGTGAAAATTATTAATCGCTTCTGGGTTCGATAGCCTTATGTACAAAAACTAATTTATTCGAGACACATGTTTAAGGTTCGGAGCGAGTGTATCGTCGAATTAGTTCGAGTCGAGCGACGACAGATCGACAGGTGCACGACGCGTCGTACGCTCGAATTCGAGAGGGTAAATCACCCTATTCGCGCACGAACCCGCACGCATGGCAATAGAAATGATCTATAACTATAATCAGCAGAAAAACTAATACGTTAGACAGAACGAAAGTGTGTTACAGTCACAATAATTTCTACATACTGTTTGGGCATTGTAGAATTTATACAAAGATGAACTCCTATTTTCTATAGTAACCGAGTTTTGAAACACGAAGTTTCAAACAAAAATGCGTGCATAACCGTGCACGATTTTACAAAATATTGTCTGAAAACGATACGTTTAATTATATCGAACGTCCCGAACCCGGGGAAAGTTCGGAGCAGGGGAGTTCGCGGCACGTAAAGTGTTAAAAAATTTGAGTTGCACTCCGTTTGTTGGTTTGTCGGGAAACTCCGTGGGTCGTGCATCGAGTACCTGCGGCGTCACGTGCGAGGGTGGCTTAATGTCGGAAGTGGAGCGAACACGCGCGTCAGCCCAGCCACGTAGAACGATCTGCTACGACCAATCTCTTTTACGCGTCTCCCTTCACGGCTCGTGACTTTGATGCGCGTGCTAAGCGTGACGTGCGCGTGCTAATCCTTTGTGTCGATGTTGCCAGCGTACGAGCATCGCGCACGACCGTTCGACTAAAAATTCCCCTCGCGTAAATGAAATTCGCGCGCGTCGCAGAGCAGACCTGAATTTAGTCTACCCTTTTCCTTCCACTTCCGTTGTGGTGTCTCGATCGTTTCTTTGATACGTATCCACGCGCCGCGATATCGATCACCAGACAGACACCATGCGATTCCAACACAAATAACTCTGGACGATGACTTGGCTATTCAATTCAATTCTTTGCCTACCTCTGCTAGATTTCGAAAAATTTAATCGAACAGGTGTTTCGACCCCTATTTTAAGGGTGGTTTTCACTCCTTAGGATGGGCCACATTTTGTGTCTTTTCTACTACTAAATTAAGCACACTTTCTTACGAAATAGATAGCAAATACTCTAAGCAAACATATTTTGTCCTATATAATCACTTTAAAACAATAATATCGTTGTGTTTCCTTAGAAGGTACATCCAAATGGAGTTCGATATGGTTTGTTTTAAGACTCTAGCAAAGACTGCTCGAAAGCTAAGATTATAAAAACTGCACAGTCGAATAATAATCAGAAAAATGGAGGAAAAAAATGGTTTAAAATCGTTTGGTAGATAGTGGAACTAAAACATGACCACAGAAAACGGAGTATCGTGTTGCCCGTGCATGGATCGCGATCAGAGTTTATTGACGCTCGCTAGTGGTCAACGCAACGTTAATCGTGCGAACCGTAGCTCTATTGTCTTAATCGGCCCTCTCTACTGATAAGCGAATAAGTCGTCGGTGCTATTTCGTCGCGTGAGAAAGAGAGACGAGGCGAGACGGTGCACCAGGTGTCAGGTGTCACGGCTGTCCGGTTTCGTTTGCAAACACGCCGAACAACAAAAACGTTTCTTGTCGATCCTTCTCGAGTGCTCTTCCAGGTGGTTGCCACCGCGTATGCTTCTGCGCGACGCGAGAAAATATTGTTTTTGCTCGTTGACTCCATAAAACGCTACTCGAACCCGATCATTTTTTCTATTTCCTTTTAGTCATCGGGAATCGTTAATACAGCAACGAAGGGTACTGTTACCGTACATTCTATCAGCCAATACGAGCGACAACGTTTTTTGCAGCGTTAACGCAACGTGGACGTTTGACCTGCGCGACAGGCGTGCCAACGTAGTTCTGCGTTCCATTGGTCCGCGGTTCTCCATTCTATTTCATTCGGAAAAGTTCCAACGCGAAGCTCTTCGATCGGTACCTTGGAAAGTCGCGGTGGCCATTTTGGAGAACGTATAGGTTTCCTGTCAAATTCCTTTAGAATAAAGTCTTTGGATATTAATTCCAAGGAAACTGCTGCAAAGGCTTTCTCTTTTATGTAACACTCATTTGTATCCTATAGAGCGAGAAATCTTTTTTTTCTAGTATACGTGTCGTTAAAATAACGCACGGGGTTAATTGAAGGGCCATTTTTAAATTCCGTTGGCTGAGACTGATGTATGTGCTCTTAGAATTGGTTCTTTTTGTGCGTAATAATTAAATTCGTAGTATTTAAAGATTTTATAAAAAGGGGTTCTTAAAGAAACGGATTTAAGTAGCGCTGGTCTAAGGCTAGGCGCACATCGAGCGCGGAGCAACGCTTTGCATCGTATAAATTGAATATCAATTTATTTACACGAATATTCATTTTAAAAAACAAATAGATACATCGACAAAGTTCGACAAAGATTCGATCGGATCGGTTTCAACCGGTCGATACCGAAAAAAGAACGGTATGCAACGCGCGAAGGCCTCGGGCAATAATT